CGTTCAATTTCAGATGATGGCTATACATCGTAAAGAACTTATAGAGGCATTCCCTCTGTGTTCCGCATTTGAGATTCATGACGCGGATGTCGTCGATGATGACGTAGGACTCCGGTTCTATTCTCGTATCCTCGATCGATTCAGGCATGACGGAATAATGCTACAAGACTGTGTTAGGTTTGATATATTGATCATCGGAGGTGTTCGAAATGACGTACAGCCTTTCGGACGAACGTGAGCAAGGAGCCGTTTCATGAAGAAGCTCTTGCCCATATTGCTGTGACCCAAGAGCAAAATATTTTGCCCCCTACATTTTGAGTGAAGGCAGAAGCTCGTCCAACCATCTTTTTTTTGTGAAATTCGAGCCCGGGGATAGCGGGGTATTCGCCACCACCAGTGCTAGTATCGCGCGCGATAACACTTGGAAGAACAGGAAGCGCGGGCGCCTGTGGTTGTGTCGGGACGACTGAACCGGGGGCGAGGAATGACAGCCGAAAATCCATTTCGGAAAGATATGCACCGCTCTAAATGCTTAACGAATGGCCGATGTGGGCGCTCGTTGGGGTAGAGGACGCTGCCCGCAAGGCCTGGGAGATGCTGTTGCTGATAGGGTGATGGAAACGTGAAGCCGCCGCGGGCGCCGAAGCAGGGACATTGGGTTCCAAACTTGTGGCTGACGATTTCAAAATGGAAAAAGCCCTTGATTTTGCACGATTCGCTGCTCTCTTGCCCGTGCTCTTTGCAGCATCCAGGAGCGTGCTCTTGAATTCATCCAAACCGCTATTCTTCGCTCGCCCCGTGGACTTCCGTCGTGTGCCTGCAGTTCTTCTAGGCACTGCGTGCTTTGACGACCTGTCTTCCGTCTTGTTACCAACCTTGGCGCTGCGCGTGTTCTTCGAACTGTTCCCGTCGTCTTGCGAGTCTTTCCAGCCCTCGATCTTTTTTGCACCACCTGTCGTCTGCTCCTTGGATGGCACATATTCCACGCGGTAGTCGTCGGAGGGGTGAGACATGTTGCCGTTAAGAATACCCGCGCCGAAGATACTGTCAATGACGTTTTCCCCAGTGAGCTGAGCGCACCGAGGGCGAAGGGGATAGCGGCATTCTTCACGTAAGGGGCCATACTGGCGGCGGCTTCCAACAGCCTCCCGCTGTGCTCCCAAAAGCCTCCTCTCGAGCGTGACATCGAGCGTCTCCTGAAGGCCGAGCGAGCCCAAGGACGGTTCGTTGTAGTCTGTAGCTACGACAGCCTACCACATCTCCACAATGGGCAGTTTTGCATCAGCAACGCAGACAACCTCTACCCTCTCCCTGATCCGGTCGAAGGGGGGCACCACTGGCTAACTGTTTGTTGTACTGGAACACATGTGCTTGTCTTCGATAGCTTTGGACGTGCGCTCGCTGAAATAGAGGAAGCATATACAGAGCTCCAGCTGCGCAAATATTTTCTGGAGGCCTTTCCCGAGCGGGTCATGGTTACGAATACGTTTGCAATGCAGATTCGAGCAACGGCTGTCTGTGGGCGCCCTGCTGTCCTGGAGGGCGGCTGTTTATAGAAGAGTGTTCTGTAGAGGGGCTTTTAAAAAGATTAAGGGGGTGTTCGGCGAAGATTCTCTTTCCAATTATCAGAAGGTGCTCGACCTTGTGCCTCTGACTATTCGCGGTGGTCCAGACGATTTCGAAGCTGAAGAGAAGTCGCCCACGACATGTAGTGTCAAAGCCGTCCTCCCGGCAAAGCATGGTCGCGTTTCTACGGACGGAAGCGTTGAGGAACGTCTCGCAGAGGTCTACTACACTCCTGAAGGGTACTGGCGTGGCCGTTCTGCTAACCCAAAGCTGGCTAAAGAGGCTGGCGTTGGCGAGGATGTGGCTCATGAATGGCTAACAAAACAGGCCATCTGTCAGATCTACTTGCCTGCACTTGAGTGAAGTGCTACTCCCCGACCTCGAGGGTGGCAAACGGCGTAGGGTAACCGATCTTTTCTGCAGTGTAACCTCCCAACAGGTCGAGTGGGCTGTAGTTGAGGGCGGGAAGCCCGTGTTGTATTATTTGAGCGATTGGCCCAAACGTGCGATAATGAGCGAGGAGCTTCAAGTGGTGCCCTTTGGTACCGAAATACCGCCGGCTTAGTCGATGTTGTCCTGTCACGCTTTTATTCGCTGTTGCGTTTTTTATTTGCTATCACGTTTTTTATTTGCTGTCACGTTTTTATGAAAGCGAAGCTTTCACTGTCACGCTTGCTCTGGTACTACATGCACGAAGTTTTGCACTTAGCCGTGGAGCAGCTCTTCTACGAAGACATTTATTTCTTCGCCTGTGGCACCGGCTTCCCTATGCCCATAACCTAGGGTAGAGATCCCATCGGCCGCGATCCAGCGCTTCGTGTCCAGCGGGCTCAACGATGTCTTGATGACATGCTCGCCGAAGATCTGATGCCCGCGACTGCGCAGCATATCCATACCGTGGTGGAAGCGCTTTCCTTCGTTATGCCTCTTTGTATTGGGCAGAACTGATATGCTTTTTAACACTTTTGGCCTTTCTAACACCTTCGACTTTCAGGATAGAGTATATCTTTGGCCTGAGTTCCACAAACTCGGCGATAGGTGCCCCCGCGCACTCGTCCTTCATTTTCCCCAGCACCTTCTTTTTGGCTGTGCTGGACAGGGGATGGGCTTTGGGATAGTTGCTGGTGTCGTACTGACCGGCGTTGCGTCTCATGTCGGCGTATGCATCCTCAGTTTGGATCTCCAGCACAAGGCTGTAGGTGTTGGTGTAAACGAGCTCTGCTGACGACCCGTACTGCACCTTGAGATGGTTGTAGTAACAGTCATACATCAGGTGCTTCGAGAGGTCGAGAATGCTCATGCCCACGAAGACAAGCCACTTGAGCAGCAGACTGATTTTATTCATGTGAGAAGCTGCGAGGTCTACTGCATCGCCAAAGATGAGATGCCGATTGAATGTTGGCTTGGCAATAAGTTTTCGGAGTCTCTCAGTCACGCTTGGTCGGAGCAGCTTCACATTAACACGCTTTCGGAGGTTCTCCATCGTCTTGACGAAGACGCTGTTGATCAGCAGCTTGTAGGGGTTGACTTCAAAGTCACTTTTTGCCTTCTTCCAGAGTTCGGTGTTTTTCCAGATGTAGGGCTCCATCCATGGGCTTTGATCGAAGCGGAGCGCCCTTTGCATCTTTTTCAGGCGCATGCCAAGCTGCAGATAGAGCTGCAGATTCTAGTAGTGCAGGACGTATCGGGTCTTGTGGCGAAGAGTAGGGACCAGCTTTTTGACCTCGTGAGACGCACTCTTATACCAATCATTAAGGATATTTTGCTGGTAATCCAACATCCACGCAAGGTCGACCTTCAGGCGTTCTGGTGCCAACGGATATGCATTGTGCTTGTCATGCAGCTCTTCTGGGTACTCCAGATGGACTTCGAGAATGTAGCCCTTCTCTGCATCCACAGACTGGTCGAGGGCCGCCTTTGCATCCTCTTGGTCGACCCAATCGAATGCGCCTGTCAGTAGTGACTGCGACATTGCTCAGCCGTATAGGTTATTGGCTTCGTAGTACTGGATCCAACTTGGGGGCTTCCCTGGATCGTAGTCTGAAACCTTAGGGTTGTTGGCCTTGCCGAAGCAACTGCTGGTCATGCTGATGCCACCGCGCAGGCCCTTCTCAATGAAGAGATGCATATCTATGTCAGTGACCAGCTGGAGCTCCACCCCCGTGTGCTTAAGGAGAGCGTGATCTGCTTTGTCCGGAACAATGGTGCTTGAAGCACTTCAGTACCATTTGTTTCATCTTTTCGAAGCGCAACCTCTACAGCCAACTGGAACTTAACTCCTCGTAGAGCTTGTAGCTCCTCGACGAGTTTGCGTTTGATGTAGGGCTGGGGATAGGCGGAGTGATATTTCTTGGCGTGGGCGGTAAAAGAGCCATAAGAGTGGCGTTCAGCGCGTGTCCGCTGATTACACCTTGGTCATATAGTTGCAGAAGTTTATTAACAGTATCTACCTCGAGTGTAGCAAATATCGTTGGTATGCATTAGGGGAGATATTTTTCTAAATCAAAATTAATTCTAAATGGCGAAATTGATTCGGCGAGTACGCAAGCAAACCTTTTTCTTGCTTGTTTCCGTTTATAAACTTTCTGTTTTTGTTCCAACCCCACACTTACGACATGGTTGTGGAAGTCGCTTGCCTTCCCTTCATATGAAATCCGCAGTATTCACCCATGCAGCTTAGTCAACATGTCGTGAGCTTTCCGGATAATAACCACGCACACTTATTCATGGCTTTCGAATGTTTGGATATACAATATGTGACAATTTATGTCTAAATAAATAATAGACACCCGACGGCCGGCTACGCAGGCGCTGGGGTTGGCCGCCCGTCTTTGGCTCCTGCAGTTGTCCTGAGTTTGGTCTTTGCGTTATCCGGTGCGATTTTTTTGCCGACCTATGTGCTTACTGTGTGCTTACTATGTATGCGAACCACGTACGCGAACTAGAGCTGGAGCTCTTAGATTTGTGTATACTCCTTCTCAAACTGCGAAGTGCGCCAGAACTGGTACGATTTTTTTTCGGGAGCCATGTATACACAGTACTTCGTACTGTGTATACGAACTAGGGCTGCGGCGCTCAGATTTACGTATGCAGCCTGCCAGGCCAGAACCGCTAGTCTCTATACTGCTTATTATGACATGGCATCTGTGAATGTCAAGCGCATCACTTACTCAGAATTATTTATTATCAAACCTTTTCTTCGTGTAAGAGCCTTAATTTTTATAGTGGATAATTTGAAGCAAAAAAATGAAACATACTTTCCAATCGTGGTAATAACTATAGCTTTAAAAGTCACTTATAGAATTATTCAAACGATTTTTATTTGGAATGGAAATAAACATTGATTTGTTTATAGTGATACTTCATACTACGCAATGCTTCGGTATAAAATTTGTTAAGTTAGAAATGTAAATACAAAATCTTGGTTAACTTACGTAAAATTACCTTTGATTTAGAAATAAGACTTCATATACGACGATCGTGTAGACAAAATTATGCTTGCTTTAGCTCTTTACATGTTACGTACCTAACAAAAGATGAGAAATTTAATATAAAAAACGCGACTACATACATATCAGTTAAAAAATGGTGATCATAGTTCATACATTATTAAAACATCAACTTTTTATCCATTTGTGTTTTGTTACATAAACACATTTAAATAACAAACGAAGATGAAGAGTGAGTCACAATCTCCTTCAACAAACAGTTTTATTCTGTAACTAAGTATACATCACTGATTAAAAGCAATTGTTATAAAACAAAAATACATAAACAAGAATCTCATGAAGAGTACATATTTAACAATGAGATTAGTCAAATTCCAAATGAGTTCTGTTAAACGTTATAAAGTTTCACAAGTTTTAACTCAGGAATAGAGAATCACCTATCTAAGACAGGATTTGAATGCCAATGATTAAGACACGATTTTTGAAACTGTTAACGTTCTTAAATACATTCTTCCCGTGTTCAACATTTGCTTATTTTGCTAATTTCCTTACTTTCAAAATAAATGCTTTGTTTAATACAATCATCAACCTTTTTCAAGACACACAGTGTTTAATCAAAAGTGGCGTCGGCAAAGAAGGGAGGTGATGCATAATTGGACATGTCCCCTCTACATAAATTTTCACGTACTCCTTTTTTCTATAGACAAGTAGAGTTTGTATAACTCCTGCAGCATAAAAGTTCTTGCACCTGCATGCAACGTTTGGTATTATTGATAGTAGATGTCAACTAGATACATACAGAAAATGTACTTAGAATTAGATAGGAAATGAACAAACAACAAACAAAACAACAGAATATAAGTAAAGTATTATTAACAATTGTTCACGTTTATATCCAGATCGCAATAATTCGTATATTTTCGATAAAAAGTTAGAAGTAGTACTAGATTACGCGTTCGTAAGTCTTTTTTCTTTACCTCTGAAGATGACTACCGCTAAGGTTGTCGAAACGTCAGTCAACAACAACAAACACAGTCCTTCTCTAGATTATACCAACCTGGACGATTGACATTTACAAACATGTAACTATACTCCCGTGTTCAAACCATCTACTTTATTCGTAAGTTTACATTAACAACAATATTGTTTCTTGGAGACTGGCACTAGTGTTAGTTACAGTTTACAAAAAAATATTCAGCATCTTACATATAGAAAATTTTCTCATGTTATTCTGCCTCCGACCCCATACTTTTAAACAGCTTTTACTGTTCCTTAACCATGCAGCGTATGGTCATTTTTTAAAAAGTTGGTATATCAACTTAGATATGATTTCTCGTGCATGTTTATTCATACTTCATCTTGAGCTTTCTTTAGATAATTTGTTATGTCGGTAATGTAGACATAAGATCTCGCTTTATTTTTGTAAAAATACCTTTGTTTTACAAGTAAGACTTCATATATGACAAACTCGTCGACCAAACTATGCTTGCTTTAGTTCTTTACATGTCACATACTCAACAAGCGGATGAGAGGTTTAATTTAAACAACGCGAGCACATACATATCAGATTAAAAATGGTGATCCTAATTCATACGTTATTGTAACATCAATCTTTTATCCATGTAAGTTTAGTTACATAAACGCTTTTAAATAACGAACGAAGATGAAAAGTAAGTCAGGATCTACTTCAACAAACAGTATTAAAACACATCAACACATAAGTCAGTTCATATTACAAAAAATCTTTGTTATTAAATAAAACTTTGCAAGTCATGAGTGCATTTTAACATCAGCTACAAAAAATTGTAATTAATTATATGTTCAATAAAAAACAATGTAGATACAACAGTAAAGGATGCAATAACAGTAAACCTTCAAATGTTATACAAACACGATGAAAACTATAATTTTAAAAGCACATTGTATTGCATGAATCAACATTTCACAAAAATAGATTCGGTCGCGTTCTTCCTTTGTGTGTAAATACTTTCTTCCTATGTTTAACATTTGCTTATTTTTCAAATTTTCTTATTTTTAAAAGAAATGGTTTATTGTATACAACTATCAACATTTTGCTCTCTACACAGAGATTAGTCAAAAGTGGCGTCAGCAAAAAAGGGAGGTGATGCATCATTGGACATCATTGGCCCCTCCCAACATAAATATTTACAAGTCCCCCTTTTTCCATAGACAAGTATAGTTTAGAAAGAAAATGTCAGCGTCTTACATGTAGAAAATGTTCTCATGTTATTCTGCCTTCCCCATAGTTTTGAAGACGTTTTCTTGTTCTTTACCATGCAGCTTATTGTCAATAGTTAGAAAGTTGGTATATCAATTTAAATTTGATTTCTCTTGAATGTTTAGTAATACATTATCAAGATGCTTCAGTAGCAAATTTTTTATGTAAAATTAGGAATATAGTTTTAGAATCTCACTTTACTGTCAACAAACCATCTTCGTTTTAGAAATAAGACTACATATTTTGACGACCGTATCGACAAAATTATGATTGCTTTAGTTCTTTACAAGTCACATACTTTAGAAAGATGAGAGATTTAATATAAACAACGCAACCACATACATATCAGTTTCAAAATGGTGATCATAATTCATATCTAATTGTAGCATCAATCTTTTATCCATGTAAGTTTTATTACATAAACACTTTTAAATAACGAACAAAGATGAAAAGTGAGTCAGGTTCTCCTTCAACAAACAGTATTAAAACACATTAATGACATCTATGTAGAACATTCTAGTTATATAACTAAGTATACATAACTGACTAAAAAGAATTGTTATAGAAATAAAAATACATAAATAAGAACCTCATGCAGGGTACATACTAACATTGAGATTAGTCAAATTCCAAGGGACTACTGCTAAATCTTATAAAGTTTAACAAGTTTTAACGTAGGAATAGAGAATCACTTATCTAAGACAGAATTTGAATGTCAATGATTAGGACACGATTTGTGAAACTGTTAATGGATTTCTTCCCTTCATTAATCAAAAATTCCATACATGTACATTCTTGCATAAGTCAGTTCATATTATAAAAAGTCTTTGTTATTAAATAAAACTTTGTAAGTCATGAGTACATTTTTAACATCAGCTACAAAAAATTGTAATTTTTTATATGTTCAATAAAGACATTGTAGATACAACAGTAAAGGTGCAGTGAAAGACGACCCTGTGAACAAAATTATGCTTTCTCTACTTCTTTACATGTCACATACTCAACAAACGGTAGAAATATTTAATATAAACAACGCGACCACATACATATCAGTTAAAAATGGTGATCATAGTTCATACCTTATTGTAACATCAATCTTTTATCCCTGTAATTTTTGTTACATAAACACATTTAAATAGCAAACGAAGATGAAGAGTGAGTCAGGATCTCCTTTAACAAACAGTATTAAAACACATTAATGACGTCTATGTAGAACATTCTAGTTATATAACTAAGTATACATCACTGACTAAAAACAATTGTTATAGAAATAAAAATGCACCAATAAGAACCTCATGCAGAGTACATAATAACATTGAGATTAGTCAAATTCCAAACGACTACTGCTAAATCTTATAAAGTTTCACAAGTTTTATTTCAGGAATAGAGAATCACTTATCTAAGACAGGATTTGAATGCTAATGATTAAGACACGATTTTCGAAATTGTGAACGGATTCTTTCCTTCAATATTCCAAAATTCCTTACATGTATATTCTTGCATAAGTCAGTTCATATTATTAAAATCTTTGTTATTGAATAAACCATTGTAAATTATGAATACATGTCAAACATCAACTGCACGCAATTATAATTACCTATGATCAATAAAGACACTGTAGATACGACAGTAAAGGATGCAATAAAAGTAAACCTTAAAACTGTCAAACAAACATGATTAAAAGTATAATTTTAAAAGCTCACTGTGTTGCATGAATCAACTTTTCACAAAATTAGATTCTTTCTTTGTGTAAATACATTCTTCTTGTGTTCAACATTTGCTTGTTTTATAAATGTTCTTACTTTTAAAATGAATGGTTTGCTCAATACAATTAACAACATTTTGTTAGACACACAGAGATTAGTCGAAAGTGGCGTCGGCAAAGAAGGGAGGTGATGCATGATTGGACATGCGATCCTCCCTACATAAATATTTACAGATTCCATTTTTTCCATAGAGAAGTATGCTATTTCACCTCTTCCATACCTTTGAACAGGTTTTGCTTTCCTTTACCATGCAGCTATTGTCAATAGTTAGAAAGTTGGTATATCAATTTAGATATGATTTCTCATGCATGTTTAGTCATACTTTATCGGGATGCCGCTTTAGCTAATTTGTTATGTCGGTAGTGTAATTCTAAAATATCGCTTAATTTTTCTAAAATTACTTCCGTTTTAGAAGTAAGACGAGGGTCTCCTTGGTGAGACAGCAACGGACACGGGTTCGAATCCCGTTGAGTCACCTGATTTTTTCAGGTTCCTGAGACGATTGCTTAAATTGTCCAGCTAAGTGCGACGATCATATCTCATTTAATTTCAAACACCGCACTGCATAAAATATTCATATGACATTCATTTCACGAGAAAACATGAGCCCAACAATATTGACCTGCTCACCACTGTGTGACTTCATAGCTCAGTGGTCAGAGCACTGCACCGGCACCGCAGAGGTCATGGGTTCGAATCCCGTTGAGTCACCTGATTTTTTCAGGTCCTGAGACGATTGCTTAAATTGTACAGCTAAGTGCGAAGATCATATCTCATTTACTTTCAAACACCGCACTGCATAAAACATTCATATGACATTCATTTCACGAGAAAACATGAGCCCAACAATATTGACCTGCTCACCACTGTGTGACTTCATAGCTCAGTGGTCAGAGCACTGCACCGGCACCGCAGAGGTCATGGGTTCGAATCCCGTTGAGTCACCTGATTTTTTCAGGTCCTGAGACGATTGCTTAAATTGTACAGCTAAGTGCGAAGATCATATCTCATTTACAAACACCCTATGATGGTAAGCCATGTGAAGTCGTGGAAAGAAAAGGTTCAATGGTAACAGCGAAGAAAGATAGAATGTTGCTTACTCGTAATTCGTCATTTTTCAAGAAGATAGAAAATGGGAAAAGTCTAGAAGAACCAATTGAGGAAAGTATAAAGGAAAAAGAACGGCGGTATCCTTTGCGTACAAGAAAAGCCCCTTTTCGATATGGACAAGTTGGAAGTTAATATAGAGATAGCTATAAAAGAAACAATTAATATTTTCATATACGAACTTATAGCTACAAAATACAAAAAAATATATTTAATTAGTTTGGGGAGAGGTGTAGTATAGTTATTATGTAAGTCATTAGTATTTCGTACGTCATACTACGTATATTATAATTAAGTAAAGATCTGTATAAAAGTAACATGACTAAGCAATAAAAGGGGGAAATCTCACAATATTACAACAAGTATGCTATTTCACCTCCCCCATACCTTTGGACAGGTTTTTCTTTCCTTTACAATGCAGCTTATTGTCAATAGTTAGAAAGTTGGTATATCAAATTAGATGTGACTTCTCCTGCATATTTCGTCATACTTTATCGAGATACTGCATTAGCTAATTTGTTATTTCGGTAATATAAAGGCTGAAACACACTGGGCAGTCGCTTCAGTCGCGCGTCCAAAGCGAATTGATGCGCACGCGTCAGTCGCTTGAACGCCAGAAACACACATGCAGCAACCATCGCGACTTTTACCGTGGCGTCTATTGAACATGGCGGAGATTTCTGTTTGTTACACACACAGACATAACTTAAACTTTTTATTTTGGCCTTTATTATAGCTACTAATATATGAATATTTACTCAGTACAAACTACTATGTGGAGAAAAGAGAACAAGCCAGTTAAAACACGCCAATATGATCACAGCACATTACGCGTATATCGTGGATAATCTTATTCTGTGCATTTAGGTTGTGCATTAGGGTTCCAGTTTGTAGCTCCTATTGTCCCTATTTGATAAGTCATACAAAAACTGAAAGATTCAAGTGTGAATTCACTATATATTGCCTTCGTTTTCCAAGGCATAATCTATAAATTTCGTATGATGCTTATGACAGGAAATATGATACGCATTTAGGAAGTTAAAATGTATCTATTGGCCAATCAGTGTAAAGCGACTGAAGCGACCAAAGTCAAAAGTTCAACATGTTGAACTTTCAAAGCGACTAGCTGACGCGACTACGCCACTACCTTAGTAACCACGCAAAGCGGTAGTTTTAGACGCGCGACTAAAGTGACTGCCTAGTGTGTTTCAGCCTTAATTCTAAAATATCGCTTAATTTTTCTAAAATTACTTCCGTTATAGAAGTAAGACAAAATTGTGAACAAAATTACGCTTGCTTTGGTCTTTACATGTCACATACTCAACAAACGGACAAGAGATTTAATATAAACACTGCGACCATATACAAATCTGTTAAAAATGTTGATCATAGTTCATGACTTACTGTAACATTAATTTTTTATCCATATGAGTTTTGTTACATAAACACATTTAAATAACGAACGAAGATAAAAGAGTGAGTCAGGATCTACTTCAACAAACAGTATTATGAAACATTAATGACATCTATGTCGTGGTATAGGGAATATACAGTAGGTCCACTTCGTGTGCAACTGGCTGCTGTATATTTAATTAGATTACTGGCTGCCTTTAGGCATTTCATCATTCCAATTGGTCAAAAAAAGCCATTGACTGGCTGCCATTATGGTAATCACATGTGTAATAAGATATGTGTGGCAGGAAAAATTTCAATAGAGTGGCTCTACTGTATGTTCTTCTATAGTGTGTCTATGTAGAAAATCTCAGTTATATAACTACGGTGGCCCATAAGGGACACAATACTTCCATGCAAAATAATATGTTTTTCATTGAACATTTAATATTTCCACGCAAAATACAATGTTTTCCATGGAACATTTAATATTTCCGTGCAAAATACAATGTTTTCCATGGAACATTGTTGCTTCGCCGTACAATATTGCTTGTTTTCCGTGCAACGTTCAAACTTGTGCGCGCGCATATTAAGATCTAGAAATGGATCAAAAACATTGTGATCGAAACCATCGAAACCATCGAATCGAAGAATCGAACCGAATCGAACCAATATGGCAGCTTGTAAACATTGCTTAGTAGAGTTTCCTTGTCAAGTTCACATTACGTTTTGTCCTTCATGTGGAATTACACAAACGGGTAAGATATTTCTTAAATACTAAATTCTGTTTATTATTCACATGTGGCCTTAAATGCGATATAATTTTGTTAACAACAGAGAATGAACGAGAAATTATTGAAAATTATTTTCATGCTGGATATAAATACGACCTCATTGTTTGTTTGCTGATGAAGAAACATGGTATTGAAATGACTGTTCGTACTCTCAAAAGACGTTTGAAATCATATCATTTGTCTCGTCGAAATGAAAACATATCTGAGGACAATGTGACAACCCTTCTCAGGCAAGAAATGCAAGCTGCTGGAGGTTCATTAGCCGGTTATCGGAAGATGTGGCACATTCTTCGAATTAAACATTATGTGCACGTTCCCCGGAAACTTGTTGCGACAATTCTAAGACAACTTGACCCAGAGGCAAGTATTAGAAGAAGAAGGAAAAGGCTTCAAAGGCGTCAGTATATTTCTCAAGGTCCCAATCAATGCTGGCATATTGATGGTATGTTTTTTCATGTAAAATTTGTTTATACATTTACTTCAGTGACAAAATTTAGCATATGAATTATAATTGACTACCAACAGGATATGATAAATTGAAGCCATTTGGTTTTCCTATCCATGGTGCTGTTGATGGCTTCAGCCGGAAGGTTTTATGGTTGGAAGTGGTAAAGTCAAACAATGCTCCTGAATCAGTTGCACAGCTCTACTTGGATGCTGTCAGAAGATACAGAGGTTGTCCACTTCAAATAAGATCTGATTGTGGTACTGAAAATGGTTTGATTGCTGCTGCTCAATGCTATTTTCGAGCCAATGATAGTTGGCCAATGGAAGGAGAACAAGCTCATACATTCGGGACATCTACCCATAATCAGAGAATTGAAAACTGGTGGTCACATCTTGAAAAGTCATGCACAAGTTGGTGGATCCAGTTTTTTAAAGACTTTGTTCAGCAAAGGCAGCTGAACTTGTGTGATGACAATGTTAAACAATGTTTATGGTTTGCCTTTAATGGAGTTGTTCAAAGTTCTCTTGATGAAGTGCAATTATATTGGAATACACATCATATAAGACCGTCAAGACATGAAACTCTCTCTGGAGTACCTGATATATTGTTTTCCATCCCAGAGCAATATGGAGGCTTTGATTGTCTAGTCCAAGTCCCTTATGAGAAGCTGCAGGAAGTTGAAATGAGAATTGCACAGCAAGAAACTGAAAATGGGAAAATATTCCAAGACTATTTTAATTACTTAGTGGACATTCAACAACTAGAGTTTCCAGAAGACTATAATGATGCTACAAATATTTTTGATAATTTGATGAGTTATGTGTAGTTAATATGCAGTACTTAAGAAGTTTTCAAAAAGTATTATTTTGACAACAGAGCAATATCATATGTACATTGAAGGACTTTGTTTTCAAGTTCATATAAAACCAAATCCCGAATACTCCAGTAAGGCATTGTCCATCGCTAAGTCAAAATCATTAGTATTACACTGGTCAACAGCAAATTTGGTGTTTCAGTTTTGTAAACTGATTTTGGACAATTTTGATGTGCTGAATCCAAAAATAACACTGTTTTTGCTGGATCAGGTCGACATTTTAAGCTATCGTTAATTTTCTATTTTTTAACTTTTAAACACCCGAGAAAGGTACAACAGAAGTATTAACCATTTACCGTTTGAAGTTCTATTACCTGAACATATTTAATTTTTTTAGGACTAGCAATACAAAGAAGAAAGCATTTGAATAAACAATTTTTGATTGAATTTTAATTAGGGAGTCTAAGTTTGATCGTGACTAAAACACCACACGAGTACATACGAGTACATACGAGTGACATACGAGTACATACAAGTACATACGACTGACATACGAGTACATACGAGTGACATACGAGTACATACGAGCCATACAAAGTGATGATTATTTCATGTTATTAAAAGCAGACGAAAAGTCGCGGAAGGTAAGTCTTACGTATTGGTTAGGTATCCATCTGTCGAGATGTTCTGTGATGAAATGTAGATTGTAAATTTTTTATCTGTGTTTTCAAAGTCAAATTATTTCATTACTGCGCGATTAAAACTGTTCGCAGGACATAGATATAATTGTGCCGAATTTTTTTATACAGACTTTAAATTTCATGGAGACAACGTACACAAATTTCATTTTTATTATATTCAGGTATACAATGGCGACTCGAAGAATGTGTGTAAATAAGCCAGATGTTTTTTGCTATGTTTGTGGTGAATACACATTTGCACCAAATCGCAATACTGTCACCACCTTTATCAAGCGCGTTTACTATGCATATTTTGGCATGAAGCTCGGCGATCAAGAGAAAAGTTGGGCACCTCACATGGTTTGCAAAAGATGCACAGAGCATCTACGTCAATGGAGCAAAGGCACTCGAAAGTCCATGAACTTTGGCATCCCCATGATTTGGCGAGAGCCTTCAAATCATACAACCGATTGCTACTTTTGTGCTATCAATGTCATGGGAATTAACAAAAAAAATCGCACAACACTGGAGTATCCCAATCTACCGTCAGCTATGCGCCCTACTCCTCATAGTGAAGAAATTCCCGTACCTGTATTTGAAGATACAAGTATTGAAGAAAACAGTAGTAGCCAGGATGAAACTCAAAGCATTGCCACTACCGATGATGCATCCTTTCCCGATGACAATGATGAGCAGCCAAAACTGTTTTCCCAAAACGAACTAAACGATCTTGTTCGCGATTTAAATTTGCCAAAAGACTCTGCCGAACTTCTTGCATCTCGTTTAAAGGACAAGAACATGCTAAATGGTAAAGTTAAGGTAAGTTTCTTCCGTACCAGGCACCAGGAGTTTTTAAGATATTTTGCTCAAGAAAAAGAATTAGTCTATTGCAATGACATAGTAGAGCTACTGAAACATCTCGGAGTACCTGAATATAAATCAGAGGAGTGGCGACTTATTATTGACAGGAGCAAAAGGTCTTTGAAATGTGTGATGTTACACAATGGAAATCAATTTGCATCTGTGCCATTGGCACATTCGACAACATTAAAAGAACAGCATGAAGCAATTAAGTACGTCCTAGAAAAATTTCTTATGACCAACATAAATGGCTGATTTGCGTTGACTTAAAAATGGTCAACTTCTTGCTTGGTCAACAGTCTGGATTTACCAAATACCCATGCTTTTTATGCCTCTGGGATAGTAGAGATCGTACTCATCATTACGTGAAAAAAGAATGGCCAGTACGTGAAGAGCTTGAAATTTGTAGAGCAAAAAATGTGATAAACAAGCCTCTAGTTGACAGGGGACGCATTTTATTTCCTCCACTGCACATAAAGCTCGGTTTGATGAAGCAATTCACAAAAGCTTTGGATAAAGATGGACGGTGTTTTCAGTTTCTGTGTAAAACCTTCCCCAATTTGTCAACTGAAAAATTAAAAGCTGGTATTTTTGATGGTCCTCAAATTAGGCAGCTTATCAAAAACTCTCCCGCGTTTGAGGAGACCATGAATCCTGTGGAGCAACAAGCGTGGAATTGCTTTGTTCAGGTCGTGATGAATTTCCTAGGCAACACAAAAGCAGAGAACTATAAAGATCTAGTAGCCAACATGTTAGTGGCCTTTAGGAACCTTGGCTGCAATATGAGCATAAAAATGCACTACTTGTACTCGCACATGGACCGCTTTCCCGAAAATCTTGGCTCTTTAAGCGATGAGCAAGGAGAGCGCTTTCACCAGGACTTAAGAGAAATGGAATCACGCTACCAGGGAAGGTGGGACATGGTGATGATGGCGGACTACTGTTGGAATGTAAAAAGAGATGTGGAAGCACCAAAACATTCGCGACAATCAAAAAAACAAAAATTTAGACCGTAATAATGCAAACATTAAGTTTTCATTTTTAGTTACATGTACTGTACATGAAGTGTACATATTCTTTGTTAGATTGCAATTTTATGATAAAAACTGACATTTTGTTTTGAAACATCTTGAAAACATGTAAATCTTGAAAACATTGTTTTAAAAAAATATAACTAAAGTCGCATAATTTTAAATTCAAATTTGCAAAAAAATTTGACCTCCTAGAGCAAAATGAATGTTATTTCTAGATTTAGCATAGCAAAAATATAGTAAATCAGTCAAAAAATATCAGACACCTTTTAAAAAGTTTTTTTTTGTTGACCAGTGTTATCAAAGTGAATTGGAAAGCAGATACTTGGGTCACATGTAGCAGCAGTTTTACGGCATTTACAATTCGCAGGGCAGCCATGCTTAAATTTGACAGTGATGTGCTTTTCTGCTCCCAGTGGTGTTACAGAGTGGCTTCCAGTGATGAATCTGTACAGCGTTTTTAATGATGTGCTAGTGTCTATAAAGGAAATGTGTTTAAGATAGTCAAAAGCCATTAAAGTAGGTACAATTGCATTTATCTCTCATTCAACTTTTGTGTCCAATTCTTGAATATAGTCACAAAAAAATTTGTGGACATTTATTTCCAATTGCTTTTTGTTGCTTCCTTCCGGGCTAAATTCTACAGTCATATTTTCAAGAACAATGTCTGCAGTCAAGCAAAAATTAGCAACACCATCCAGTGTAAGCATTGATGCCATTATCTCCCGGTGATGTTGAATTTGCTGCAGAACCCCAAAAAGTGTAAGTCCAGTTTTTAATTGGTCCATCATTGCCAGCATATGGCCAATTCCTGCAATTACAATCGACCTACAACAAAAGATATTGATGTGTCAAAAAAGATGAACAATGTAGATTGAACTGTATGTATGAAAACATGACTATGGTTTTATACCGAATAATGTTGTCTCGTGAGGCCAATTTCTCCTTGGAGGGAACACCCCTGTAACCGATTGATTGCAGAATGTTCATCATGTCATCTGAGCAAAGCAATGTTCTCAGCTCCTCATCACTCTCACATTTAACTAACTGAATGCAATTAAGAATGCTATGGTAATAAGTAGAACAAATGAGAGTTAATTTTTTCTATTCTTTAAGCACAGCTTTGAGATATTTTAAAGTGAAATTTGCTTGCTTTTCTCAATGAGTGCATATTTTTTACCTAATCAATTTCATCTTTGAAATTAGCATCATGAACCAACTCCAACCAGTTGTTGGCCTGTATGCTATTTACCCCTTCAGCCACATAATTAAATACATTCTTTGCCAAGAAGCATGGGGCTGGTCCTCCCTGTGCCAGAGAGGATGATATTAACTCACCAGCAACCATGAAGTCTTCATTTGCTAGTGCTCGTGCACTAAACAGTGGATAACAATTTGCATCAAACAAAGTTGACTTAATGTGTTGTAGGACATCTGTCAATACAATGAAACAGAGTTAGCATTAAACAAGGTATAAAAACAAATATTCAAATTACTACATATTAGTTTCTTTGCACAGTTGTACAGTATGAATTGAAAAAAATCTTCACTGATTTTCTCACCTGTGAAAAACTCCCTCCTTGGGCCACCACCATCAATAGAAGGTTCACCAGCAAAACAAATTTTAAGATTTCCTCCTTCAGCAAACCATTTTCGTTTCCGTGCATCCACATAATCTGCAAAAGATAATTGCCTACGAATAGTAACTCTGTTGGTCGACAATCTGTTAACATTGTCCTGAATTAGATGAATCACTTCTTGCATAGTGGCAACAGTTGGCTGTCCAATTTCCTCTTCAGCAATAAGTGTGTTTTCCAGGTTATTTTGATCGTCATCTGATAACTTGCCAATTGGGTCTATCCACCTTTCTGCACACATGTCTGCATGAGCCTCTATGTCTGCACATGAATAGTATCCAAGACATGTAGGGCATTGATGTTGCAATAGATATTTTTCTATTCCATGCTTAGACAATTGTCCTTGTGACATACTACAAACTTGAGACGATGAGGTAAATGAACTTTGAGAAGACAAAGAAGAGGATTGGAGGATTTTATTACTTGCATCTTCATTGAAATCCCCACAACCTGTTGTGGCCAATGACTTTGATGTTGAAGGTTGAGACTCATGATACTTCATCGAAATCTCTTCAAGTTCCTTGTCAGAACTTTCATCAGAAATGGAATTTTCAAAATCATCTTCTGTACATAGCCAGAAATACATTTTGGAGTATGGCAGCAACAAATCTTCTTTATATTTTGAAAGCACAAATGGTATGTTGGTCTGGGGTAAATACCTCACAATTGACATGTCATTATACAAAAGAACATATTTGTTATACTTGTTAAATTGTTTATGATGTCTTGAATGTTTATCAATTGCTTTTTCAAGAAGAGCATTTCCATCAACATCTTCATCAACTGCAATTGTTATTGTCCTTGACTTCACCCTTACCAATACACCATCTCCATATTTGTCTTTCACAATGCCAACCTGCACCTTCACCTCTTTTGACAACTTTGCTTTTTTTCCACCAGGTTTTGGCTTAAATTTTGATGATCTGTCTTCCTCTTTCTTCTTACGAAACTCTTCAAATGAAAGGGGCTTTACTACAATGGTCTTGCTTGGAGGTTTTGAGCCTATATCTGTGTTTAAAAACAGTTTGAAATATATTGTTTAAGAAAATAATACAACAGCCAAAAATATGAGAAAACATATGAGAAGAATAGGGATAGATAAGAAGATTTTAAATAAATAAAAAGTAGAATGAACAACTTCCATTTTACAATTGAACGAACGTTCGTGCACTTGTATTTTATAAACTATAGGATTGTGTACTTACCGACATCTGATAATGCACAAAATCCACAGTTGTGGCAAAATTTGGCTTTATCCAAAAGCTTTGTTCCACAACTTTGGCAGAACATTTTGCTATAAAAATTCCACTTTCGGACTCGTGTTTTATGAGATTCAAAGATTAGATTTACCAAATAGATTTCCTCGAAACTTCAAGTAACTGCATTATATTCAATTCATGCGCGCGCACAAGTTTGAACGTTGCACGGAAAACAAGCAATATTGTACGGCGAAGCAACAATGTTCCATGGAAAACATAGTATTTTGCACGGAAATATTAAATGTTCCATGGAAAACATTGTATTTTGCACGGAAATATTAAATGTTCCATGGAAAACATAGTATTTTGCGTGGAAATATTAAATGTTCAATGAAAAACATTATATTTTGCATGGAAGTATTGTGTCCCTTATGGGCCACCGTATATAACTGAGTATACATCATTGACTAAAAACAATTGTTATAGAAATAAAAATACATAAAAAGTACCGCATACAGGGTGCATGATAACATTGAGTTAAGTCAAATTCCAAAGGACTCGTGCTAAATGTAATAAAGTTTCAAAAGTTTTTACTCAGGAGTTGAGGAATAATTATCTAAGACAGGATTGGAATGTCAATGCCTTAAGACACGATTTTCGAAAATGCAAATGTTTTTTTCATTTCATAATCAAAATTTCATACAACTAGATTTTTGCATAAGTTATATCATATTATAAAGAACCTTTGTTATTTAATAAACCATTGCAAATTATGAATAATTTTCAAACTCCAACTACACGGAATTATAATTACTTATGATAAAAGAACACTGCAGACACAAGAGTAAAGAATGTAATGAAAATAAGATAATGCTTATCTCAGATGTGTAGAAACGATGAGAAACACATTGTAGTTGAGTCTCAGTAGGCAAATTTAAAAGATTAGTGGTACCAATAAGGGACAAACCACCCACAGAGCGCATTTAAGATTTCAAAAAATGAATGCTTAAAGTGAGTTAAATCACAGTATAGGAATATACAGTATGGAGGGTGATCTCCCCCAAAAATTAATAGATATATTTTCAATTACTAATGGGCATTTTGTCCTTTGCAATGTGCATTTTGTCTTAATCATATTCCATTCTGCAATTTCATAATTGGATTTTGTCTTGTACAATTTCTGTTAAAACTCATTTTGTTGTTGAACATTCCATTATGATGAAGTAACATTATTCGTGACTCGCAAAACATCAAATTTTACTCAATCACATTAAAATTTATTTATAATTTATCTTCTTGATGTGATAATAATGAAAACACAATAAACCAATTGTTTTATCTACAAGTCTACAACCTAAAACATGGCAGACAAGTTATACTTTGTAAGTCTCCTTCGCAACTCTATTTTGGGTTGTATTGTTGACCTCGAAGGAAGTCCAGATCGGGATTTTTGCGTTTTTCGTATTGATTCTCTTCACCATACTACGTTGCGATTTGCTGAAGTATTCAAGCTTGAAGAAGCTGTTCTGCAGTTAATCTCAAACGCAAAAGAACTTTTAAAAGTCGATGTTCATCATGATATTAATCCATCAATGAAATATTTACTACAACTATGATGACCTTGAGACGGATGACCTTGATGACCTTAAAAGGATATTGTTCCGTTCATCTTAAACGTCAGTTAAACACAAGTATACCCATATAAGTTCCTAAACATGATGTGCAGTCAATTTTGCGAGAAATTGACGAAGAAGGAACCTAGGGAGAAAAGGGTCATCGACTTAAAAGAAGAACTTGCTATAATCCGTCCTAACTAGAACGTGATAGATACCAGTAACGGATCTAGTGATGCATTTGGCACATTACATAGAATTCTTCTCATGTAATCGCGTAGGTTATTTTGATAGCATACTATAACGTCCCTGGCTGAAACTTAGCCCGGGCTGAAATTCCTTTATGTAATCGGTCCTTTACTTAGCTAAAACTTTTGCCAGCCATTTTATTGTTTTTTGTTACAATAACTTGAAGTGTTTTATTCGAAGATTTGTGCTAAGATTGTTTAAATAATGTAGACTTACAATACAGTAATAACTAGGGGAATTAAAGCACATATATCAGCGAATGGGGAACAAAGTAAAAGGTTAAAAATGAATCAAACACGAAACTTCCTTTACATAAAAACAAATGTGCTGCTTTACAGCTTCCCTTTTCACTATCTGTTCGCATGTCTGCATTTTTCATTTAGTAACCGCCATGGTAAACAATTCAACCTATTAGTGTCCATTACTTGCGCGAGCAATAATTACGAAACGACACTTAATTGAGAAAACATCTGACCCCAAGAGAGTCACAACACGATGCTAAACACATTATGCGTGTCCGCCTAAAAGTTTGTTACTCTCGAGTTCTTTAACGCAGACAGCATAGAGTAGTTATATTATGATGCATTTCACTACATATGGCCCTTAGAGGGTTAAGTACAAGTTTCGGTTAATATAAAATATATAACACTAACAGGGACCTGTTATGATTCACATCACTGCAGTTTTTCTCTAGAAATCCCATGTCTGAAAATAGTGACATTTATAACGGTACAAATCTTATCCTGTGAGAATAGACGAACTTAGTAGCTATCATAAGAGCAGCAAGAATCACTTTGGCAATATCGCCAGTATATTTTTGAGCGCTTTGTTAGTCATTTTATCAGACATTAGAAACCAAACAATTAAAAAAATTTGTTCTCTACTTATATATCGCAAAATTCGTGTAAATCAGACGTACCTGTGTCGAGAGGAGTGAAGAACTTGTTCAAATCAGAAATTTGTCAATATACCGTAAAACGTCTTGAGAAAAGTGATGCTGTATGTTTCAATGTAATTGCTTTTAGAATTTGTGAAGCTCCTTATCATAGCAGACGTAGAGTCGCAGCCAAACCCTGCAGGTTGCTAAGATAGAAGGAATGTTGATGAAATTGAACGAATCTTATTGGTTGGCAAATAATTAGTTATGCTACTAGCAACTGTTGTTACCAAGCAAGAAAAATTTTTAATTAAAAACAGTGGATTTCAGTAAATGGACAGCTGTTTTTACATTTGTAGTTCACCCATTTGATCTAAACTCTCCGAAATTATGTCCTCTCATTTGTATTTAGCATTTCTTTGACATATAGAATCAGCATATCTTATAAATCTTAAATGGTCTGCAAGTGAAGAATGTTAAGTCACGATAAACTTTTACATAGATAAATTATTCGTAATGACAGGAGCACTACATGCGGTCCTTTCCACAAGAACTAGCTAATGCAAGCCTGAAAATTCAGCTAGCAATCTTATATTCTATAATAAGAAATTACGTCAAAATGGTTTCCATCTTAGTTTTCAGTGTGTTCTCCTCGAAACACTTCTTATTCATTTCACTTTAATATAATAGTGGAAGAAATAAATCAAGTTCGTATTCTTTTCTTCCCCGAATGACAACTGACAACTTTAATTTGCATTATATAAAATAAAAACAATAAAACGCCTGCGTTGATTGGTTGATAGCTGAGCATCATGAATTAAATCCATCAAAGAGTATTTGCTAATGAATCATGAATACATGTTAGAGAAAATATTAAAACCTTCGCTTTGAATTTATCTTTATTACATTATTGTTATTTTATAAAAGAAATGTAAAGATGTTTTTGCTCTGATCTGCTTTCGAGTACTCCTAAGGTCTCCTCGGTTTTCATATTTCCACAATAAACATCTTTTATTTCTTAATTGAACATATGCAAATCTTGCAAAGTACACCGAACGAAAACATTTATTTCCTCCTTAGAAACGTACGTCAATTCAAAACCTCCACAGCAGCAAACGTGACTATGGCACTTAATAAGTTGCCCCAAAATGAAATTTTTCTAATTGAATCGTGTTTTTATTGAATAGTGAACACAAAAGGTCTGTCCATAAGCTAAGAGAGGACGAAAAAGTTAGTGTGGCTCAAACCTGGGCCATTTTTATCGAATACAAACATTAAATATGTTGGTCCTAGCTGCTCCAACTCTTAAGACATAAGTGACTTGAATATGGAGCCTAAGAGTTTGGACAACTATATATATGATAAAATGGTCGAAAGAGACATATAAAACTAATTGGAACCAAAAAGTTAAAAATAAGCATAATCCGTAAAAGGGCATCTAGGCCGTGATCTGTGCCTCAAAAATATGCTTTAAAAATGAGTTTCGTTGGACACCTCAAGGAAGGTCGCAAAATTTTCAAAATAGATAGAAAGTCACTTGCTGTTTGATATTCTTTTTATTGTCACTTCTAAAAAGCTGCAGTTTTTTAGTATTTCGCGGTTGAATTTCAAAATTCCTCGCTCCTTCAATTTTGAATGTCGCCATTTTTTTTGTGCGGAACTCTTTGATCTAACTGCCGTTGTCATGGTGAGGCAAATTTATTTACGGGCGCCATCTTGAAAGGTGGCAAAAAGGCGAGATTCTTAATAAAGTCCAAGTAAAATGTAAGTTTTAAATGAAGAATTCTGTTGAAAATTTTGGAAGCAAACCTAAACTGTCACCTTTGCACTTATGTATCAACATTGGAGAAGCCTGTTTTAGACCTAAATCTTGTCAGTGTTAAGAACTCATGGTTAAATCGTGCGCAACTTCACTTTTCGAAGGATAGCAACGCATCTTTCCACAAGTTTTTCCTTAAACACTAAAGCTTGGTAAGAAATTGATCATTACCACTAAAGAATTTTTTGTTAATAAGCTTTTAAATAGGCACATCATTATGCAAAGGCCTAAGATAAATGTAAAAATTGTAGAACAAACATTTAGCAGCTTACAGCTATGTTACAGGTTCCATAAAGTACATGCTTTTGTGATTAACCTGCTTTAAGTGATGCAAGATCAAAAATAAAGTTTTAAAAGTATTGCTATCAGGCTATTAGACTCACTAAACACAAAAATTACTTTGATTCAATGTTTTGACCACTTCTTCTACAAGGTCACTCCACATAGGATAAGTGAAGTCCATTCTTTACTTTGGAAGAGTAGAATTCTGAAATTTCTCTTTTTAAATATAGAAGGACAACATTTTTTTGGTTTTGTAGAACCTACACTAAGCATTAAAGTGCTTGCTCACTTACTTCTACCAGAGGATCTTGTCTCTATTACATACTGATGTCCCAAAACAATCTTTAATGGCTGTTTCCATGCATTGATTATATAAAGAATGACTTCAAAAATAATTCAGATATTCTTTATTTTAAATCAACATTATAAACTTTTATCAAAGGACACAGAGTAAATTAGGAAATTAGTATGTATAGATCAGAATCATAACTACATTTCTTGTTGAGAAATATATATACAGGATCACTTTTTCAATCAATGTGCCAGAACTCTTTCACTCTCCTTTTCATGGTATGACAAAGACAACTTTTATCTATGAAAGTCCTTGCTAATCAAATTTACAATAAAACAAGTTTCAACCCAAGCAAAAAACCCCAGCTTTCTGGCTTCGGAAATGGCTCACTGAAAAATATTCTTTCTTGAACTGTAAAACATGATCTTGAGCATAAAGCCTTAACTGAAGATTAACAATCATCACAACCTATGAAAGAGATTGTTGAAAAATACAAAAGTTCACCACTTCTGACATATTGTAAACAAATAGTAGCTAAGTTTGTTCTAAGAATCATATAATGTTGAGTTCTAGCTTGGTGTTTTGAGATTTTATGCTTCTTAACTGAGATTTTTAACTTCTTTTTGCAAAATACCTCTCAGTTGTATACAGAATGCAATAATGCATGAGTCAATTCCAAGCGTTACCATCCCCGGATACCCCTGGGCATTTGCCCTGGAGACCTTTCTCGGGGGTCGGGAATTTGCTCGTAAAAGAGATGCTCGGGAGCCGGGTATTTACTCCGGCAATAATACCCCCGGGGATTTGATACCATTTAAGTACGCGAGTCGCGACTATTGATTTCTATTAATCGCAACATTAAGTACCGATTCCCATCTTCTGGTATCCAGACGGACCATCGTGTAGTTTTTTCCTTACCCAGTTTCTGATGTAAAGAGACCTTGGGGAGGGGAGGATTGCGAAACATGCACGGGAGTTTGCTATGGGCATTATGTCACCGATGTGTCAGAGCTGCTAAATATATATGCAGTTGGCAAAGCTATAAGGAGCCCGCCGCCGTCTGAAATACTGGCAGACTTTCACAAGAATCACAGTGGTGGATGTGTAGAGGATACTGACATAAGCATGCTTGCCAAGAAATGTTTGCTGTCAACCAAGGATGTTAAATTGAGGTTTCAATACTTGACGCAAATTTCTGTGAACAGGAAAAGAGGTGCTGGAAAAGCAAAAGCAACAACAGAAAAGCGGAGCAAGGGAAAGTAACTCAGGAACGAATTTCTTTTACTACATTTATTTTTTATAGGATCTCTCATATATCTTGTTTAATAAAGTATTAAAAAGTGTTCCTACTTTTCGTAATTTAAAATTAATTGGTCCCGGAGCGGGGCATTTGCCATTGACAGCTTGCCCGGGGGCTGAGTATTTGCCTTCTTGCCTTTCCCCGGCAGCGGGGAAATTGAAATATTAAAACGAAAAAAATCAAATGCCCGGCCATATTCCCGGGGGGGATGGTAACTCTTGGAATTGACTCATGCATAAGAATGACTTTAGCAATATTTGCACTAACTCTTGATTAGCAATGGAAGTTTATGGAACTTACATTTTTGTACCAAGCCGCGCTTTGGCCTTTCTGTTTACAACCACAAATGGATATTACTCCTCCGGATGAAAATGGGTGGCAAACGAGTGACGGGAAACTGCAAGTCTGAAATCGTATGGATGACCATTCCCCTAGCGCCGAATTCCCTACTTGATAACGCTCATTGTCGTTGTAAGACTGGCTGCAACGTGGCTGTAACTCCCAACGTTGTTCATGTAACAAAGCCGGAGTGAAGTACACAGATGTATGGTCGTGTACTGCATGCACGAATGTAGATCTTGATGACGACAATGATGTTGAGAAAGAGGAGTTTTTAGATGATGACATTGACGACGAATTCGAGACAGACCTTTAAAAAAAGCGCGCCTTGTCTTGCACAATACGATTATAACTTTCAAAATATTATCTTCGCAACAATTGCTAAAATCCAACCTAATGCACGAGTGAAATATGTATTTCTTTCAGACATTTTATTTATGTTGCCAGTATTATCGATTGAGTTCTATAATAACTGGAGCGGCTAACTTTACTGGGGCGAGGCAGTGAACTCCATATATATATATCTGGAATGATAACTACAATACATTTTATAGATATAAAATTGAAGCCAAAGTCCTAGTCTCTTGCGCGGTTTGTACGTCAGTTCCAGTCCTTCAAAGTCGAATATTCACGCGGTTTGTACGTCAGTTTCATTCCCCTGAGTGCCAAACATACACGGCCAATATAAATTTGAATACAAACTGCAAAAGCATAAACATATAAACAACATCACAACAAACAACACACTAGGCCAACTCTTCGCAAAAGGTTATTTTTTACAGCTAAAACTTTACTACAGTGAGTTCGTTGTAACTTACAACTTTTAACGAGGAAAAGCCAACTGAAAATTACACTTTATGCTAAAAAGGCAATACAATAAGAAAATATGACGAGAAAATATTCAAGCATAAATTTTTCTTTCGTCGGAAGGTAAATTTTCAAACGGTGTCAGACAGTGTTTGTCTTTTTTTGTCGTTTCAATGGATTTAAAGATCTGTTTTTCCGAATAAAAAAGAAACTTGAGTATCCAGGTTCATAAAAAATGTTGAGTCTATAACTCGCATTTTACTTTTTACAGGGCGATTGTATCTTTCATCGATTTTGATAGTGCTTGAAATACTAAATGGTTGTCATCTCGATATCAGTAATTGAATATCCTTAAAGACTTTGATATGTTTTAAAGGAGAACCGCAGCGTAAAAGCAGATCGGCTAAGTTCATCTCACCTTGCTTCTCGATTTATCACTTTGATTCACTTTCCGTGAACCTTTTCATTCCAAAAATTTCGTTATATTTACGCTCTGATCAAGATCTGAACTCTACCATTACCAAGGGACAAATGATTAAAAAAAATTAAAATGAACACGCGAGAGACTAGAGCCTGACGTGTGATGACGAATGATGACAACAAATATTTTTTTGGCTTCAATTTTTGGCTTCGGTTATCATTCCAGTTATTCAAATGTCGAGTTCACTGGGGCGAGGTCGCCAAAAAAATGGCGGCCAACGTACGTATTTCCGCTGAAATGATCGCTTTGCAGAAAAATAATATTCTCGACCTCCCGAATTTTTCAAAAACCAACACGATATCACAGAATATGGATATCGTTAGTTCCATATTCCGTGACGATTCTTTTTTAGCATTTCTTTTATAATGCCAACACTTCAATCGTTCAATTGTTGGATGTCGTAGTTTCCACAAAAAGGAACATATCCCTTCTCACAGGTGAGGTAGTTGTTTGTTTTGTTAGTCCGTCAACGATTGAAAAGCAATTATACATGCACTTGAAAAGCCATAAAATACATATTAAAGATCGTATTTTTTAAGACTGACTTGAACGCCAAATACACTGATGTTTTCCTGTTTTTGTTTATAAAATTCTGCATACTTTTCTGTCATTTTTTAATGCATGAAGTCGTAAATTTACCCATCTATTTGCAAAATAGTTTCCCTAAAGCAAAAAAGACCCTGCACACATTTTGCTCTGTGAGTAAGTATCAAAACGAAATGATCAGCCTCAAGAGTACCCATGATTTGGAGCAGAGCTTGTTATGTTCTATTTGCTGACAACATGCAGGGAAGACCAAGGAGTAAAGATGACTGGAAGATGTTATTGATCAGGCAGAGTCTTAAAAAAATGATAATGCTGTAAAGATAATTGATTTATTGTCTGCCCTATCCAGAGTTATTTAACTTGATCATGGTCAAATTCTATGGATGGAGACAATGGATTCACTAAGGATGACTTGAATGCTTTGAAGTTAAAGTTCATGAACCAAAGAAAGATGGCAAGGTTGTGTGTGTTTTGATGCTTAATGAATTGTCAATTCACAAAGATATAAAATGGGAAAGCCATAAAGTTTGTGTCTATGTAATCATTTGTACTGAGATTGATGACTTGATGCAGATATGAAGCATCAAACTGTATAAGCCATTGGGTTTTATATAACTTAATGTTTAAATCATGTCATATCTTTATCAAAATATTTTAGTTGAGTGTTGTATAAATGTTACTAATATCTAATGCACTACACTGAAGCATTAAAGACTCAGTGATGAAACTTTTAAAGTTACTGTACTGTATATTTCTTCATTATAACAGTTTTTGCTTTGAGAAACAGTTTGAGCTTATTTACCTAGTAAAGTACAGAATGGAGATTTATCATATGCATTATTGCTACTTTTTTAAAGAAAAGTTTTTCACTTTTCAAAGCTTTCCTACAAATTTTTTGCTTCTTATTTCTTTTCATGAGATTGATGATATATGGTTAATATAATCCAATAACTTTGTAATTTCTAAAAAGCTTTTAAGCTTCTAGCATAAAAGTACACTATAGGTATTTGATTGATTTGGTTATATTGCCTTGCTATGACATATCTACTTGCACTTCATCATTCTTGTATGAACAAAACACCAGATGTGGATACTCAGAGAACAAAATGCACTACCAACTGCTTATGATATTATTATTGAGGTAAAAACTGTGTTAATCATTCAAATTGTGTACTTATTTGCAAATATAGGAAAAACAAAACAAAGTGAAAAAGAAGGGTAGAAGTATTAAAACTACAAATGACTTATAAACACTATTGGAAGCATAAGTGTTTTGATGATTATTTGCATTTCGCCCAATTCATATATCAATACAACAAAATCAAAATGTGCTACAACTTTACAAGTATTTGATGCAGTTGCACTTCAGAACATCACAAAAAGGTTACTTAAAGTAATTTCTATACAATATTGTTTGTTTTCATTTACCAAACCTATGCAGACTTGAGTCTTTTTGAAATTTAATATGAAACTCAATTACAGAATATCCGTAAATATCCAGAGATTTAATATTTACTTTTTTAAAGAAACAAGTAAAAATCCAACAATTGTGGCGAAAAAAGCCTTTGCCCATTGCATCATGAAAAGAAGCAAAATAGAAATGATAACAAATAAGCAAACTTCTCTCTCGTGAACCGTGGAGATGAACTGTGATATACTTTTTTGTATAGACTAAAGAGTTTAATCGATCAAACAAGTTTGACGCTGGTAAAAAAACGACGCACATCTGCATTCATACATGTGTAGCCGACATATAGCTCATTCGATACTCGCGAGTCAAGTCATGTTACTCGAGGTCGCTACTGTAGGGTTTAAATACATAGGTAAGAAAGGATTACATAGGGTTTAGATGGGTGAGAAAGGGTTACACAGGGTTTAGATAGGTAAGAAAGCGTTGCACAGGGTTTAGATAGGTAAGAAAGGGTTACACAGGGTTTAGATAGGTGAGAAAGCGTTGCACACCATCACCATGACTCTTCTCCTTCTCCCTCAACAGTGTGCGAATTAACGGTGTGCAATGTGCATTTTGCACACCGTTTTAGCTAAAATGAAAACAATTGCACATCACTTTTTCAAACGATGTGCAAAAATCAGCGGTTTTAACGCAAAAAACTATCGTAAATCATATGAATTTGTTCACGTTTAAAAATATTAATTTAGCAATTAGCGCTATATAATAATTAACGTAATATCGATTTGATGATGGCTCTAAAGAAACACTTTTGTCAAAAAAATTGCACATCGTTTTTTATGAACTAATTCGCACACTGTTCCTCACCCTAACACATCCCTTACCTTAAGTATTATCAAAACCCTATTTATCCTAAGCCCACCCCACATTGTCCAAAACTGAAAGAAATTATGTCAAATTATGAAATCTCAATTGACATTAATAGCAGAATGTAAAATGCTATTTCTAGTTTGAAATTTATTCAAAATCCCCTCAAAATAAAAGAAAAGAGAAAATACATTCACTCAATGGTTTTTTAAAGATTAAAATAAACACAGTAAGATAATAATCACCTGACGTTATGAAATGTTCTGTTTTCATAATGATAACGTGGAGGAGGATTACCATGTTTGAAAGAACTTTGTAAAGAATCGTAATCATGTCGACAGTTTATCGCCAATTTCTCAAACCTTAAATAAAAGTAAAAATAACTACAAAATATCTCAAATATTTCGAAAGGTTCTACTTTGTTGTGATTGTAAGCTCCCCCTCATTCCATAAAAATCCCCCCCCCCCGAGGAAAAAAAGAAACTGATAGACAGAAACAAATCAAGATTTCACCTCTATATAAATCGGTTGGAAGGACTGGGTCCAGTTATGTCATGATTATGTGCACGCCCCAGGGTGGCAGCAATAACCTGAAAAAAATGAGCAACTAAAAACATTACTTTGGACTAATCCATGATGACAATACACAATTGACATTCACACACAGACAAATTTCCTGTACACACAATATATGATGACGTATGAACCTGACAACAAATATGGAAAACCTGACTTTTACTCCACTCTTTATTCTGGAGATGACTACCACTAAGAATTACAAAATATCAATTAACATCAACAACAATAATCCTTCTCATAACTGCACAAATCTGAATGATCTACATCTACAAACATGTAACAATACTCCCAGGTTTAAATCATTTACTTTATTACAACCAAACTATTATATATTAGTACAGACCAGTGGCTACTGATATGAATGCCATCTTTAAAATTTAAAATTTCACATGACAAATTAGAACAGATAAATAAACTATATATTTAGAGTTTGAATATCTGAGAATGCAGACAAGAAAATGTTTTCAAATGCACTTTATTATCAAATAATGCATTGATAATATGTACAGTAAAATACAGATTTGTGTTTGTATTCATGTCTTTTAGTATTTTCCAGTGATTTATCACTTATGACATAAGTTTAAAACTATGTCTACATCAATGGAATGGAATTTGAAACCATATCCATATCAAATTACTCTACTATTTGTATTGTATTAACGGAAAAAGAAATGTTATGCTACAAAGAATTTTATATAAAAAAATATTTTACTAACAAGTATACTTACCCTTCATCAATCAGCTTGCATTATTTTGATCAGAAAATAATACAAAATAGGCATCATGAAATTTTATATTTCTTGATTCTGGTACATTACAAAAATATGACAATATCAACTTCTTAAATACAGCTAAATATCCTACGGCCATTTAATACTTCCATTGTTACTACAAGACTATACATATGTGGAGGAAAGAAAATCATCAAAGAATGTTTTGGATCTTTCAAAATGTTACAACTGTCTGTTTAATAGTCCGTTCACACTTTATATGTTCTTTTGTGTTTATTATCTAAGGTGAACTATTTGTTTTTGTATTTATATGAATGGGGCAGTGAAGGTGTTCATATGCACAAAACAATTGGTTTTTAGCAAAATTTTGAATCTCACATGAAAAATTTAAAACAAAAATTCAACAAGGTAATTAAAGTAATATCAACTCAGTTATACTTTCAAAACTAGCGATAAACTATGGCTATGCAAAGAATTATTTAAAAGCTACTCTCGAAGAGTTCACATAAAATTTACACAAATAGTACGACCAAAATAAGGAAAATGAAAGAATTTTGCTACGAGTTATCAATGACAATGAATGAATGTCGATGAATGTTCGCATTATTTTGTCGAGCTATGAACTATAACAATATTCTCTGTTTAAGTTTTTATCAAGTAAATGGTGATGTCGGATGAATAGCTTTAGAACATTGAGTTTTGATGTCGTTAAACATTCACGGTGTACATTAAAAAAACACAATTGATTTTATTCAACTTTCTGATGATCAGTAAAAGACTCTCGATGAAAACAAAAGGTTTCCAAAGAAATAAATGATCATAAAGTTCCAAAATTTTCATAGTGTGACTAAACTTGAGAACTGACTACGCTACTTAACACAATCGCTTTTATAGAAAATTGATTGATGGTATTTCAAATATTAGTTGTTTATATAAATACCTTGGTAGAAGCGTTCAAACTTTGGAGGTACTTGTCTTCTTTGGCATAAGAGAAAACTTTAAGCAAAGTACAAATGATCCAGGCTGGAAAGTATGTCTTCTGCACACCGAAGATTTTTTTTAAAAATATTACTGCACACCAGGCATATTTGAGCGTGGCGAAATTCCGCCATATTTGTGGGCGTGGCAGGGTAATTCAATGATGCATGGGGTGCTGAGTATTCCTTAAATAACGCAGTAGTTAACTTTGTTTAAGCTCTTGCGTGTTTGTTGAATAGTTTGCAATGGCAACAAGCATTTACAATTACAGTGTACATTTACAGTGTACAGATAAAGTAAAAACTAAAAGATAAAATATCGCATTTAAAACTATAAATCCTTGAGTGAGTTCAACTCCGTCATAGTTCACCAAAATCATTTTCATTCAAAACATGTGGACATCGAGGAAGCTCATGCCTCACTCTATGCACAACTTTGCTCACTTCAAAATTTGAAGTTCTGTCTTCTTTAAAATATGGTAGCCGATGCTTTGGTAGCTTATAGTCTTCATCACCGTTTGTATAAATTTCTGCAATGGTTCTCATGGTACGAGGACATGAAACGGGATGGGGAACGCACCAATCTACTATAGATCTATGAACCAAAACCTCATTAGATTGGCCTCAAGTTTTCTTGTGAGAACCCATAAGACTATAAAAACCTTCTACTATAGCCTCACAACCACTTTTGGAAAGAGCTACGTCAAGGGCAATGCACATTTCTTGGCCAATTGACTTTATTATATCTTCATTTGTGTAAATGCTGGTGCACACAAATTCTTTGTTGATCCTTGCTTTCACTGCTTTCCCGAAGAAAATTTCAGAGTAAACCACAAATCTAGTGCAGGATCCTCAATGCATTTAAGGGAAATTAGCTTGTCCATTTCAAATTCTGTCACTGGTTGGTCCTTTTCATCGATGAACATATACGAACGACAGTTACCAAAACCTTCTCAGACCATTCTCATCACAGTTTCTTTAAATTGCTCCAAGACACTATAACTGCTTTGCGGCAACAGTTTCAGTAATGGTTCGTCGCTGCATGACATGAGGCAATTGGCAAACATACCTAAAACATGAAGATGTAGAAAAATTAGGTAAGAGAGTCATGTGATAAAGTTATTACACATAGTAAGGCCAAGATAAATATTCCCAAAATATACTTGAAAAAATCGGCAAACTCTCTTTTCCCACGAAGATCCCAAAGATGTCTTCCAGCCCTGCTGACTTTGATCCGCCCATTTACGTGAGACAAATGACAAAGAAGCTTTGTTAGTCCCTCAATGTCAAACACAGCTTCTAACTTAGTGATGTTGTCGATCTTAATGTTTTTGTAGCGAGATGCCTGACACATTGGATTATCTTCTGTGAGTTGATAAAGACCATCTAGGCAATGATTTGGTGATCGTGCCTCCCAAGTAATAGTCTTTCTCTTATGTTGTTTCCCTGTCTTGTCTGTAGACGGTCCTTCGACGAGTTGCTCAATCTCATTGACTACTAGCCATACTTCGTAGACTTGTATTCCTTGAAACGAACATTCTTCAACTTCTTCTTTTATCAATTCTTGCCAATGTTTTGCAAGTCTTGGCAACAGCTTTTCAGCTGGTTTTACAACATCTCCGTCCTTAACTCGCTTTAATTCTGTCCTGATATTCTCCAAGATATCAATGACTATCGGAAACCCAGCAACAATTTTCCAGGGAGGCACGTTTAAACTCTGACCTTTGATCATTAACGAAACAACTGGCTGAAACACATCAATTATTGCACATAGATCTATAGCAAAATCTTGACCTCTGAGTTGGTATTTTGTCTCCTCACAATCATCCTTTTTATCTTCTCGATTTGCACTGTATGTCGTAACCAAAGTAGGATAACTATTGTAAATTTTCTTCCATTGATCGAAAGCAGAACTAGAAAATCGCGTGGTTTCATATGTCACAGTTTCGAGCGCTTTTAATCCTTGAATTTCGGAATACGTCTTGTACTCGGCATGTCCTCGGCCACTTCCAAATAATGTGTGCAAGCGATTAGAGCGTTTGATGATAAGCTTGATAAAATTGGAAGACAAGGAGTTTTCACGTAGCTCAACGATCGCTAGGTCTAGCCACTGGGATGCATCCCAAGGAAGAAGAAACTATGGATCTGGTTTTTGATGCATCCCCAAAAGCTCGTATAGTTTCGTTTGAAATGTACTCGCTTAGTATTGTCCATCAGCATGAACAAAAAGAAGCAATTAGAAAATGAAAATAAGCAAATGGAGAACGTGTTTAGCAAATTACTTACACATCGACTCAGTCAGCTCTCATAATAACATCCTACCTCGCAACAACCTTAAATCCGAGCTAGTTAGCTGCAATGATCGTTTTAAAATTTCAATTACTTGTACGGCAAGATCTTCTCCATAACCTCCTCTAATAGTGTCTTCGTCATCGGAATCTGCATCTCTGTACTAGTACACTAGTGGAGCATCAATTGGCATCGCAGTGCGTTTACCATTCACCGGTAAAAAGATCATTATGGCCTGATTCGTGTCTCTGTGAGGAGTAGATTTGTCTGTTGCAACTGAAAAGTAGGGCGACAATCTAGTATTTACCAAAGGTTTTTGTAGAAACGATACCGCTTGCTTAATGACGTGGACATATGCAGCCTTTATGATATTTGGTAACTGCTTTCTATAATGTTGGAAGATAGACAGCTGAGATTAATGACAAAATACCTGCGATACAAAAAAAACCCTTAAAATCAAACCTTCCATGTCCGATAGTCCCAACGTCTACTCCACAAAAGGAAAGGAATGCTACCAATGACTCGTACGATAAAGCCGCAGTCTTGATCTTACATATTTCTATTCCTGCAGACACCAGCTTAACGTTAGCGTCAATGTTTCTTTCCTTTCGTTGTTTCTGACTCAAATGATACTGTAAGGCCTTCATATGGAATTGACCAGCATTTCGCGTTGAACTACAGTTGACATGTTCGAGGATATTGTTCTTAAAACTGTACCATTCTTGGTTGGATCCTTGTGAGTACTTTTCAGTCCGAGCAACATCATAGATCAGACCAAGGCCCCAGGACTTGTTTAGACCATTCCTAAAAGTTAAGGAAATGTGTTAATCAAATTACATCTATAAACTTTGTATTCTACAATTAGCAATCACTTGCATTTTTAAAATAGGATTTCCTTTGATATATTCGTGGCAAGGAACACAGGTTACGCGACATCCATCTGTCAGAATATCGACTTGTAATTGTTCGCAATTGGACAATTTCACCAAATTGCTGGCAGCCTTCACACCAGCATCGCCAACAGCTTCTATCTCGGTTGTTATGGGATTTTGGCTTGATCTTCTTCTAACAACACCATCCATGTTTAATGCCTGTAATCTGACTAGAATTTGGTTGATACCATCCTCAATTCTAGCAATAGGATTGTCTGATACGTCATCAATCTCGGTGGAGCATTGGCATTCAGAGATGGTGATGGTCGTTTTCGTCTAAATATGGCACTCCATTTTTCCTAAATGAAGATATTTAGTATTTCTTTAGAATAATCTTAGAATTCATTCAGAGAAATTTGAAAAATGATGAAAGGACAATGCTCACCTCAGCTGATTGTTGCAAATTTACATTGACAAGTTCGTTTGTCTAATCTTCCTCAATTTCAGAAGTCATTTTCAGAGCATGTTAAAAAGCAGAAGAGGACCGAAATGGGGTTTTAAAAAGCGTGAATGCCTCTTGTTTTTTATATAGTTATTTATTGATAACGTGATTACAAGTTGTCCGTTAGACAACGTAATCCCAAGTCCAAATGTGCTAAGTGCCAACCATGTACTTATCATATCAAAATAAACCCACCAATAAAATAAGTCTAACAGTAACTTAATACTACTTTCAACAGTGGTGACACCGACTTTATGAAATTATAGCCAGTGGCGACGCCAGCGGTCATGCAGGTGATGCAACAATGCATGACTAAAAGTTTTCCCAAAAATGTTTAAAATTGAACGTAAAATTGTTTGAAAAATAATTTCACATTAAGTTTTAAACATCTATACGCATATACTTTTTATTTTTTAGGCGAAATAATATTAATCTAAGGCTTCTTTCCAAACGTCGAACTTTACATGCGCCGAACGCATTTCAGGCAAAGAAAATGAGGCAAATTCCTCATTATCTTTTGCTTTTAATGCATTCGGCACTTGTAAAGTTTGTCGTTTGAAACGGGCCTAACACCACATTCTAACAACGCGTTCATATTTCATAGCGCGTGGATCTTGTAATGAATACTATAAATACTGCTCTGTAAAATAATAGAATCACTTAAATCAGTTCGTTCATTTAAATTCATTCATGTTATTCATGACAAATAACACGAACTCAACATGGGGACGCATGCTGACGCCTGATGCATTTGCTTTGCTATATTTTGAGGAAAAAAGAGGATTTTTCAAAGTATGCGCCAACCACGGTCCGCGATCGATAATTTAATTGACAGTTCTGTGCAGCCGTGGGCGAAATTTGAGATATTCACATCCAATTCAAAGGGAAGTTATGCGTTGAGAAATGACATTTTTATAAGCAGTAACTTCCGATATTTTAATAGCAACAAAGGCTTACAAAGCAAGATTCAGTCTCTTGCAATATCACACACTGTATCATCAATCTTCCTTAAATTACTATTTTTCCTTTCAAAGACTTTGAGACGTACATGTTTGACACAACAAAACACTGAAAACAGCCTATGTACACCAAGATTAGCGATACTTCGTATATTAATTTGATATTATTATGCTTTGATCGTCATATACGCACCAGTGCAACATAAAATTTATTTTGCACACCAGCACACCAATTATTTCTTACGTCATTGTATTGTGTGTACAGGAAATGTGTATTGTCATTGTGAATTAGTGTGAAGTGAAATGTTTTTAGTTGAGATGTGCGATTTAGGTGTGATAAAACAATACAATGACGTAAGAACCAGATAACAAATACGGCTAACCTGACGTTTACTCCTCATTTGACTCTGAAGATGACTACCGCTAAG